AAATAACTGAGACCTCCAGAAGAGGAATGTCACGTGGAACTAGAACAATCTACCCCGGTGGGCGAAATAAAGTTTTCGGTTCGAAATTTCAATGATCTGAAGAAGGCCGGAGCGTACAACTGCCGAAACCTTGTGAATATGGTAATGATGATGATGATACCAGTCCGTAAATAATCCCCAATTAAGGTTACATGCTATGAGCAGTATTAAGATTCAGTGATATAGTAAAGTTAGAAGAAACGACTAACTGTATTGTAAGAAAAAATAATTTTTGTTTGTCAACAAAAAGAACATCCCAGGATTCGAGCTAGGAATTACGGTTGTCAAAATGGAGGAACTATAGAAATTTGGATGTCTAGGAAATGTTCTAAAAGATAACCCAAAATATGGCACCAAAACACAATTGTCATATTGTAATAGAAAAACATGCCATTCAAAATCTAAACAAATTACAGTCGGACATGTTTAATTTAATTTTCATGATTCAGCAATGTTTTGAATCGGCCTCCATTCGTTCGTTGAGTGGCTTTTAGGACAACGCAACACGTTGTTTTCAACGTTTCGTAGCAGCCCAAAGCAGCAGACTGTTTTGGTGAAGCCATCTTCTATACAGCTGCATATTTACCTACTTAGTATACTGCTTTCTTTTTATGTGACGTATAACCTCAGGATTTAGCCGATCATGGCTCTCCACAATTTCCTTTCCCCTGTAGCTCTTAACCAATTTTGCATTTCTGTTATTTCTCCTAAAAACTGTGCCTCCATCCATTTAATCAAGCTCACTAAGAAGGTTATGCGTTGTTTTCCTCTGTCCCTCTTGCTTTCAATCAACCTTTGAGTATCAGATTTTCCAAACTCTCTTTCCTCCTTATGTACCCCAGAAAACTCAACTATCTCTCCCTGGTGTTAAGTTTCCTTTTCGCTTTGGTTTTCTCTAAAACTTTGACGTTGCTCAAATGTTCGATCCATGGTATCCTCAGCATCCTTCTGTACCACCTTGTTTCTGTTGCTTCAAGTCTCTTTTTTATCCTTGAGGAGATCGTCCAGCAATCAATGCTATGCAAGAGGACAGATATCACGAAACAGTTTAATAGTCTTTTCGCTGTTTCTAGCGAAGTATTCTGGTTCTTTGTACTCTGTCTCGCTCTGGGAATTCATAGTATGTATATATTATTGGGGGAGGGAGTTAGTTTTATATTTTTTTATCTTTGTGTCATCAGAGTGTCATATAAGAATAAAGTGTCGCTACCGACACTTGGGTTTGAACACAGATGACAGGAGTGCAAACGCAGGCGATCCCATTTGAAAGAAGTGGATAGTAAAAGAAATGGATATATGGGAATTAGCGTGGCGTCTAATTGATCCCTATTTCTACACTATCCTCTATTACTATACGGATTGCTATTCTCTATACTGCTCATTATACTATTTCTCTATACGGATCACTATACGGTTTACTATTCGGATCATTGTTTGGTGGTTACTTTTCGAGTATTATCGAGCATGTATTATTAGTGCGAGTGATTTTCGAAAGCGTCAGACACCAGTATTGTTCAACGGCGTTATTACAGTTGCATCTGCGATTACAAAGTCTCTACTACAACGAGCATTACGAAAGTGATGACAAGTATTCGTTGACATTACAAGAGTGATGACGAGTGTTCGTTCAGTATCTATATTTCTGAGATGAATATTATGTACATTATTTACATTATTCGGATTATTGTCCTCATCTTTGTCGCCATATTCATTACAACGTCTCGGCCGTTGTACTCTCCGGCCTTCTTCAGGTGGTTGGAATGTCGAACTGAACCCTATATTTCGCTCACTGGGGTAGACTGTTCTAGTTCCACGTACCATGTTTAATGGGTGTCAGTTATCTCCTGTTAATTTCCCTCTCAAAGTTCTCCACTGCCTTAACTGGGTATTGAACTCTCACTCTTTGGGTCCTGTCACTGGATCTAACTAATGCCTTTATCCACTGTGCCAACGAGTGTTCGTTTTCATCACAAAACAGACAATAAAGAAAACCCTCATTTAAAGCAGCAATGATTGTTTTATTCACTGTTTTAAGCTTTGATAACAAGGTAATATACATTCATATGAGGAATGAACTGACAAGAATATGTTTACATAAGTTTATTTTAACTCATACCGTGTTTTTGTGGCCCAGCAGTCGTTTGGCTTTAAGGGTGGCGGATTAAAATTGATCGACTGCATAAAAATATATCAAAAATAATTAGAAACAAAGAAAATCAATCTTCCTATATGTCTGTGAATGCAGGGCAATTTCCTCACAGGTGACAAAGAGATGTGTCAGTGGAGATCTGCTTCTATGAAAAGATGACGAATAAATCATCGATGGAACGTGTGAGCTACAACGTAGTTTTAAGAAAAACAAAATCGAAAAGGACTCTTATACTTAACATCGGGAAGAGACAGTTGAAATTTAGCAGACACAATGACAAAAAAGACTTGGGGAAAAATGACACCCACACAACAGTGAGTAACATACAGTGTGTTGTGATGTCAGACGCTTATCTCGTTGTCACTTTTGTGATTTCAACGAATGCTTTTTATCACGTACGTAATTCTCGTTGTAGTCGAGACTTTGGAATCGCAGATATTAGTAGCAAATCCTTCGATTAATACTCACCCTAGTAATCCTAATAGTATAGAGAAATAGTAAAGAGGATAGTATAGAGAATCGCGATTCTTTAGACGCCATGTTTATTCCCATATATACCTTTCCTTTACGATCAAGTGGTCTACTGATTAGAAACGGAATCATCTGTGTTTTCCCACTGGTGACCTGTGTCGGCAATGATACTTTATCCCGATATAATTCAGCGCCACGCAAAAGTTTAGAACTCATTACAAAAAAAAATGTTTCTTTAGATATTTCTAACACAGATTAATGAAACTTTTACTGTTAATAATCCATATGTTCAATTCTTTAGTCAAACTATCAGATTTTTAAAAAAAAATATCAATAAAAATATCCCACGAAGAAAAACCAATATTAATAACGCAAAATTTTACAAAACATTTATTAAATGATCTATTAATATTTCGTAGCGTAACCGTTATGGCTAATTACAGCTGTCTCGGCATTTACTGTAATTTTTTATTTTTTTTTGCTATTATGTTTCTATTTTATACGATAAAACTTTTAGAATCATGCAGGTTCATTTTTTGAAGTCTCAGGATCAGCTCCTTCCATAAATTTTCATTCGGATCGGTTTTTTAAAAAAATCTGCTTGTTTTTCTGAAAACCTAAATATATGCTCTACGAGAAGTAAAAGTTTAATTAATCTAACTCTATTAGAAATACACAAAAAAAGCATTTTATGTAATGTGTCGTAAACTTTTTCGTGGCACTGTATCTAAAGCACTCGTGTAGATGGATGGTAATGCAAGTATGGGAAGGATAGTAAAAAAAAAATAGATACAGATCAGAGTAACGCAGGACGTTAGGAAGGACTGTGATCACACAGGTCCTTAAGGGTCACAACGCAGGAAAGAAGAAAACACTCACACATGGATTGGGGCCAATATATTCCCGAAGAACGCATGGCATTGGAAAGAAACCTATACGTGAAGAGTTATAATTGGCATGATATTTCTAAGTTTCTCTAATTAGGTTCAATCGTTATAAGTTATAATTTTGGATATATACAGAGTGTTTTCAAAAAATTAACATTATTTTGTAGCCTAATAACATAGCCAATTTTAACTCAAATTACCTCAAATTTTAACAAAATGAGTAAAAACTAAATTGATTATTAAACTGACTGACTACCATGAAGATGGATCGAGAGTGCTTGTGACAATGGTCATGTGCTGTAGAAAGGTTCACCATGTTCCCCTGACTTGTCACCTTGTTATTTTTTTCTATGGGGCTATGTGAAAGGTCAGGTCTATATACCCTTCTTCCTATAAGATTAGAGGAACTTAAGCAAAGAATCCCTGAGGCGCTGGTGCATGTTACAAAAGACATGCTACAGCGTGTTTGACAGGATTTGGTCTACGGACTTGACGTGTGCCATGTCACATGTGGTGCTCATATTGATCATTTGGGAAGCTTTGTGAAAATAGTTATAAAACATATAACCCTTTGAATATAATGTTCGAATTTTGATAAACAATTTTTTTTATTTTTCAGCATAACGCCTATTTAATTTTGTTCGTCTGTGATATGTAATTAGTCAGGTATTTGAATATTTAGGGTGCGGGGGAAAAATTGTCGCCTAAATGACGCAAAAATGAAAATAACACTGTCATTATAAGAGATATATTACCAACATTACACAAAAACATCTTGAAATACTAAAGAGTAAAATCATTCAATAAAATCGGCAGTGCCTGTAACTAAGGCCTCCAGACGACATCAGAATCTCCTGCAAATCTGGGCAGTTTCCTTTTAATGTTGGTGAATGCTGAGATAATCCTTTGCCTTGCGTGTTACAAGAACTTGGTCTCTCGCTCAACAGCCCCCACACCACATAATAATGGGAGTTCGCCATCTTGTGTGACATGGTGCAGTATCCTGTTGCCAGAAATAGGGTCATCCAGTAACCACCATTTTGACACAGCGCAGAACTACCTTCTCAAGGCATTTGATGTAGGCATCTGCGTTGAGTCTGGTGTCCTCACCAATAAATTAGGGAGTTCTTTACTCATCAGAATGACCAGAGTGTGTCCTAGCTTTCGTAATTTAAAGTGGTGACGATATATATATATATATATATATATATATATATATATATATATATATATATATACGTGTGTGTGTGTGTGTGTGTGTCTGTGTGTGTGTGTAATTTGTCTTATATCGTCTGAGATTACCTAAAGGTTGAAAACCATGACACTTGATCAAACCTCAGATATATATATATATATATATATATATATATATATATATATATATATATATAAATGAGGAAAAAATAAAACGTTTATGAGTTTTGCCATGTTTCGCAACGTGAAATGTTTGGGGAATGAGGGAAGATATCACGTGTTTTGGCATTGCCGCCTCTCTCTCTCTCTCCCCCCCTTTCCCTCCCTCACTCGCTGTTTGTGTATTTGCCTGTGTGTGTCTGTGTGAATTCTGGATGTACATTTCTTTCTTATGCATGTCTAGGTGGGCTTGAGTGGTTGCCTAACATTGCAGGTGGCAGCGAAAAGAAAACCCACTCATAACCATCGAGACATGGACAAGAAACCAAAACGCCCACTATTCCAACATACACACAACAACAACAACAACAACACACGCCCACACGCACATGCTAACACCAGAAAACGATAGGCACGTGATGTTTATCTGATCAGTTTATATCTATCTATCTAGCTTATATAGATAAATGAACAAATTGAGCTAGCTAGCTCAATTTGTTCATTATCTATCTCAATCTGTTCATTATCTATCTATCTATTTATCTATCTATCTCAATCTGTTCATTATCTATCTCTATCTATCTCTCTCTCTCTGTGTCTCTGTCTCTCTGTCTCTCTCTCTCTATATATATATATATATGTCGGTATTTCCTCATTATCTATCTATCTGTCTATCTCAATTTGTTCATTATTTATCTTAATCCGTTCATTATCTTTCTATCTCACTCTGTTCACTATCTATCTATCACAATTTGTTTATTATCTAGCTCAATATGTCCATTATCTATCTATTTCAATCTGTTCATTATCTATCTATCTATATTTGTTCATTATCTATCTATCTATCTATCTATCTATCTATCTCTCTCTCTCTCTATATATATATATATATATATATATATATATATATATATATTGCTATTTACACATTATCTATCTCAATCTGTTCATTATATCTCTTTCTATCTAGCTATCTCAATTTTTCATTATCTATTTCAATTTTTTCATTATCTATCTATCGCTATTTTCTCATTATCTATCTATCTATCTATCTATCTATCTATCTATCTATCTATCTATCTGCCTGTCTGTCTCTATTTGTTCAATGTCTATCTATCTATCTATCTATCTATCTATCTATCTACATAAAACTTTTGAAGGGTGGACTGAACAGTTACGATAATGTTCGTGTCTGAATCTCTCTTCCTGCCTGTCTACCCATCTAGCTATTTAACTTTACCAGGTTATTGGGAAAATTATTTGTAGAAAAACCTAAAATACTCTTCCGTAAAACTGTTGTCGGTCATAAAGTTATCCTTTAATAACCTTGCTGTCGACTGCATTTCTGAATCTTGAACAACATTTTTGGAAGCGTGGAATTGCTGTTTTTTCTCTCCCTCGATGACCCAGGCGGCTACATATTTGAAGGTGGTCTGATCATGAAAATTCTCCAATGTGGATCCTTTATAGGTGATTCCGTAAGGAACACGTAAGGCTATCAACTCGATGCTGGGTTTGACCACTATTGGCTTAAAATCTGAGGCATTCTGGTAATAGGAATAATGAAATAAGCCTCATTGTTCTGGATACCCTGGAACATCATAGACAACATATTATTCCGGGAAGCTCAATGACTATACGGCAAGTTCCATATTGGGATAATCTCTCAATCTAGTTATTTTAGAGATTTCTATGAATTGCCCGGATTGGCAGCTAAAGTTACGGTAATCTCCATTTCTTTTGTTAGATTGAAAGTTTACATGATAATGACTTGGTATTTTACGAAAGAACAGCGTCGCCATGCAAATTTGGTTTTGTTCCCAACCACCGACATCCAGTGTCTCTGCTGTTATACTCAGTGCGGGCCCAATTTTGGAGACACCTCTAGATCATGTGATGAACTGAAAAGAGTGTCTACTTCGGACACGAAAATACTTTTCAAACCTAGAAAAGGATACTGAATGAGGAATAACCAAAACGGAGGTTGGAAATGAAATGGAAATCGTTTAATATCAACAAAATAAAATACTCGCCAGCAGCGTGAAGTAGGTAAACCACTGATAGCGGTAGACTACTTAAACACCTTTTTATTCCCACTTAAAAGAGTGTCCAACGTATTTATGAGGATTGGGACATACCCATTAGTGTTCATAGGTACGGTATATAACAAACCCTAAACTTAAAACAATGGAATGGAAAGGACTACTGCCAAAATATATAACTCTTTCCCTAGCTCTCTCTCTCTCTCTCTCTCTCTCTCTCTATATATATATATATATATATATATATATATATATATATATATATATATATATATATATATATATATATATAATGTCCATCCGAAACAATATGTGTTAAGACAAGAGTTTGAACTGATGCAGATCCTTGGCATTAAACAGTGTATCAACTAATGATACACCTTGCCCAATGGTGACCACGAATTAAAGTGAACAGCTATAATTTATAATTCAATACTTATTTTTTCAGACTTTTACTTGTAACCTAGAAAAGGTTACTGAATGAGGGGTAACCAAAACAGAGGTTGGTAATGAAATGGTAATCTTTATAACATTAACAAAATACAATACTCGCCTTCGCTAGTGGTGGACTACTTAGACTACATATTACCCCACTATTTCAATAGTGTTCATGAGGATTGTGACATACCCATTAGTGTTCATATATACAGTATATAACAGATATAGATTATGTTGCGTCAGAAGTTTAACTCTGTAGCAACGAGTGCTTATATAGCTTATAGCCAACAAAATTAACATTAAGTGAAAAAAAGTTCATAATAATTATATATATATATATATATATATATATATATGAAGATGAAGTATTGTAAATATTTACACTATTGACATTGGTACATTTTGTTGTCATATTCGCAACGTTTCGGTGATTATACACTCCGGACTCCTTCACATGGTTAGAATTTCGACCTCAACTATTTATTTCATTCACCGGGCTTGATTGTTCTAGTTCCATGTGCCATACCTTTTCCGGATACCGCAGTATCAATTATCTCCCTTTTCATCACTGTTTGGGTCAAATGACTGGATTCAGGTAACGTTTTTATCCACTGGACTGGGCCATATATATATATATATATATATATATATATATATATATATATATATATATATATATATATCGTGAGTTGGAATCATATTTTTAAATAAATAATGAAATAATAACTAAAATACTAAGGAACTTTGGATTATTTACCTAACCAGTTCTTTCCTATTTTCTATATATTTTCATATATATATATATATATATATATATATATATATATATATATATATATATATATATATATATATGAGGCGAAGGCAATTATATATTAAAACCCCCAGCATTGAGTACGAAGGTCTCTCAGAAAAGACCTACGTGGGACTCCATCGGCCGGTAACACATACACAAAGTGGCAGACATAATTGATGAAGGAATGGAGAGACATGCACTGGGAGTACGCAATTTTGAATTATATTACTATTCAGTAGTAAGCATAATTTATCATTTTACCAACGTCGCCGCCATATTTTTAAATATGTAGTGGACTCTTTCTGTAACGAAGTAAAAATGCCAGAAAATGTCTATGTTTAAACTGCGACCAGCTCCATAGATAAGTAAAATTGTCCAAATCGTGTAACAGCATAATTGTACATCTCACAAAAGGTTTAATATCTCAAAAAGCACTAAACTAATTGAGTTTTTTTTCCAAGTCTTCAGATAAGATGTTTAGCCATCTTGACACCATTTTCCGTAAGAACCACTTAAAACCCTTCGATTTTTTAAGCTAGAAAGATAACAAGTTAAAATTGTTTTGTATCAGCCCCACTGTCTTCCCAAATGAGCAATGGTGAGAGGAAGAAAATCATTCAGGCCTTCAGTAATCCACAACATTCATACTTTGGCTTCCATCTACAATATCCTTTCACGGACTATCAAGAGATCGGTTAATAAGTTTAAATGTGAGAACAGTAGATAGGAAAACTGCATCAGGAGGTCACAACAAGAAGACGGATCACCATATCAACCTATAGGTAAAGAGATTTTTTAGAAAAGATCCAACTCAATTCATATGACTTTTGGCACATCAGAGAGGAGATCCAGCTATGATAGTCGAAAGAGGTGTAAGAAGACTTGAAAATGAAATCGTACGTGAAATCTGTGAGGCAATTTTTTACTGCAGGACAAAAAGTTAGAAGGTTTGAGTCGGTGAAGATCATCTTGAAACTGAAGTTGAAAAATATGTCTCTCTCTCTCTCTCTCTCTCTCTCTCTCTCTATATATATATATATATATATTTTCTGTAGTTCACTGCTACCAGCAGAAATATTTCTCCTCCCGATGATGGCCATTTCGGTCGAAACTAGTCGAGTAATCTAAATGGAATAATAATAAAAAAAACGAAAGAATATTAATCTACAACCCAGTGTGTCTAAAGATTTAATTTTTATTTTCTTATTGTTCAAATATATATATATATATATATATATATATATATATATATATATATATATATATATATATATATATGTCATTCACAGACGGACCGTTTCGCTATATCACAGATATATATAAACTTAATATCAATCCTTCATGAGCTTCCGATCCTTAGATATGATTAATTAATGATGGAAATGTCATTTTCATTTATGGTCGATTTCATCATGATTCTTCTGTTAAGCTTAAAGTGTAATTATACATTTTATTGCTCAAAGTTGATTCCAATAGTGTTATAAAAAACCTCCGAAAATTCCAGTAATGATTTCTTAGATACAACTGATCAGAGCTTAATCTAACAACTGAACAATTTTGCTGTTACACCCGTTATATATATATATATATATATATATATATATATATATATATATAACGCTCATTTCACTTCAATCTAGTACTATTGAGAAGAAGGTAATTCCAAAACAGTAGCCGCACCGCTCTTCATTAATGAATTGAGCACTCTGGCTGCTGGCGTCTGTATGCAGTTGTATATAATACGTTAGAATTTACCTTTCACTACCGCGCGCCGATGTCTTATGGGTAGGATCTCCGACTGAGTCCAAATCGGTGGGGTTTCGATCTCAGCTTGAATCAATCGGGTGTCTAGCTACACTGATGAGCGAATAAGGTTTGTATGTTAATGACTATATATATATATATATATATATATATATATATATATATATATATATATATATAACCGATTTCCTATTCTAATTTGTTATACATTTTACAGTCGGTAAATGCGACCAGATATTCACTGACAGCACCAGATATTCCCAGGAGCTAAACCCATGTAGCTAATGGTTAGACCCGACGTTGCTTTACTTGAAACATGGGTGCTCATGCGAAAAAAATTTTGTTTCAATATGATACGCCCATAAGCCAGAGTAAATTGGAAAACGTTTATAAATCGGATATGCTTCGAGACTTTCTTGTTACTTCATCAGAAAATTTGAGGAATGAGAGGAACGCGAATAATGATTCCATATTGCCCGGCAGATATCACAAACAAACCTAATCGAATGAATGTTGGAGTGGCTGTGCATTCACATAAGTTATACCTTGATCTTTTTAACGTATACGAAATTGAAGGTCAGTTTATCTTTATTATTTAATTTCTGCGAAGATGTCAAAATTAACCTTGGCGCTAAATAGTTAATGTTTGGTGCGTTAAAACTTGATGGGGTTTCTTTAATTATGCCTCCACAATCTATCACATGTTACATAAACCAATAATTGTATAACGTTGCATACGTCCAAAGAATAACCATTCACTGGCATTCTGTTTAATAGGGGAGTGTAAAAAAAAAAGTTCTTTAATATACTGCCATCCTTGACATGGTTTAAACGAGATAAAATTATTGATATTTCTCCTTGGCTAATTCAGATCTCATTATAATTTCCTTCTATTCAAGTAGTTAAGAATTCGGATTACTTTTTTTCATAAGTTTAGATGGAAGCGCTTAAATTAAACTAGATTTTTTTTTGTTTAAAAAAGAAGATAGGCCAAAGAAAAGAAGCTGTCAATCGAATGATAGTTTTACTTTTTCAAGTGAATGCAGATATTATTAAATTATTTAAAAATATGTTTAATAAGTTTATAAAAGGCCATTAGGGGATTGCGT